GGGGTGTTTGAAAGGAAAAAAAAAAAGGCCAGGAAAAAGGCACGCCAAATTAAAAAAGCAAGCGCCTCATTACTCCACATCTAAACCAGCTTTGACAGAGGCACTGGAACTCATACGATGCGTCTGACTGGGCTGGGATGGGCTGTTTTGCAGCCATCCCGCACATTCAATGTCAGCCATTAGTTCTTCCCAATCGGGCATCAATGTTCAACGCACACTCGAAAAAATATATAATACTAGTAATAATAATAACAATCTGCAGCCTCTCCGAGCTTCAATACTTGAAGTATGAGTCAAAGAAGCAGTTTCACTTTTCACTCGGGAAGCTGACAAGCATGACTAGAGGGGGAATAAAATAACATTCAGCTCGCATAAATATCAAGCAGGCTGCTTGAGACTGATGGGCCAAGAATGTATTCTTAGCCATCATTCTGGCAGACAGGCCCAAGGACACTCATAACTTATTTTACAATCATTTAGTTTCAGCTCAAGTGGAAAACGTGACAACTTATCTCTGCTGACAAGATGCCATATCGAACCTTACAATTAACTCTCCCACGATTATCTGCCCAGCCCATCATTAGCTCTGCAGTTTTTGATGGACTGTACAGGCAGCTTTCCTTGATGATGGTCATCATTTGCAGGGTGTATATCTATATTATCCAACATTAAGGACAAAACTCTCCCCTTGCCACGTCGCTGGGGTTGTCCTGACCAGCACATCCTCGTTCTGGAACTGCTGGGCCACATTTCTCAGTCACATGCTGTTGAAAACTGACTTCTCCTCCAAACGCTGGCTGCTGCCTGCAACCTGGAGTGAGCTGGAGATGCCTGTGCCCCCTCCCAGCAAGCAGCCTTCCTCCCTGCCCTCTCTCACCAGTGCAATTACAAGTCCTCTGAGCTGTGAGAGCTGACATGTTCACCTCTGCATGCTCACCTTAGCGTGTCAAGGAGGTGAGTGGGACAGCATGAATTTCACAGGCATGTTTGGTGACTTTCTGTACCAACAAGAAAACGTGTTTCTCACTGAAAGGTGAGCTTCTGGCTTTGCAGGGTCATGACCCAATGCCCAGCTTACACCAAGGGACTGCAGAGCTGCACAAACCAGTATGACAAAGTCCTGGCACTCATTTCAGAAAAAGCAGTAAAACAATTCTTAATTCAGAGAATAATGAGGGTAAGTTTGTATCTATGCAAGTTACTTGAGATAATTTAAAAATCTGCAGTGGCTCACTCCATGCCCAGGAGCAACAGGTGACACTTGGTAACCAAATCCTTTAAGTTATCAAGAGACAGGAGATTAAAAACCCAACCGCTCTGAGGCGCATGACACACAGGGTAAGACAAGGATTCTGTTTACTCAAGTCTGACTCTTGTTTGCTAGAAATTACAAAACAAGCCAAAAAAGCCAACATAGCTTTTATACCAGTGAGTAAGTCCCATGCCTGCCTCTCTCCTGGATGCATTCTGTAATTATGGTCATAAGAGAAACCCCTTGCAAGTATGACAAATTCTGGTAGGAGAAACAAGAGGCAAAAGACTGTGTTGTCTACAGCTACAGCTCAGAATTAATGAGACAGAACATTAAATGAGAAAAGAAATCAACCAGTCCTTCTCACAAGAGTCTCAAGGGCTGTGCTTTATTTGCCATTTGAAACATGTACATTTGATAACCTCTTGCAGTCTGTAAAAGGTAACGTCCTGCACTAGTCTCATTTCTTCTCTCTTCACAGTTCCAGTCTCTGTAAGCTGCACGCACTCCAGAAGAGGATGTCAAAGACAACTCCATCTGTGTTCTCTAAGGATGCTGTGAGAACCCTCCTGGATTTGAAAAGGGTCAGAGATCCAGTTCAAACCCAGCCTGGGTTTCCTCGGTGCCCTTAGCACAGCACAAATGACCTGCACCCCAAGCTCCCAAGTATCTGCTCCAGATCATGCCTGATCTTCAGACTGAAGCCATTTCTCCTTCCCCACCTGCAGCAGAGCAGCAGCAGATACCAGCACAGGACCCAAGGAGGTGAAGAA